AAAACAAGTGATTTCTATATTCCTGTCTGCAACAGTATTCACTGGTCCATTTGTGTCGTATCTGTTAAAGCATTTCTAAACCGCAATTTTCACTGTCATTCATGACTGTGAGACTGTGAAGCTGGGCAGGTTCCAAGTTTTCATTTGGACTGTTATTTTTCATGTTATAACTATATGGAAGCAGCAGTTTGTAACCAATTTTTGTCAAAGACAATGGACAGGTAAAAAAGTGTCTACAGTGGTAAAATGCATACGTGTACTGTTTATAGGACCTCTTGAAGATTCTTTCTAAATTAACATTAAAAGGTCGATACATAAAAATGGTTGAAATATGTCTGACTGGGGGCTGGTAAGGACAGTTTGCGATAGAAAACTGAAAGCTAAATTTAATAGTTTCATATTTTATCATTTCAAGAGCTGTTTCAAAATGTTCTGAAACCTTTGTAAAGTCACACAGCGTACGACATAGTCTTACCTTGCAGAAATGCTTGTAGCATTGCATCTAGCTTGACATCGTGGTCAACAAACAGGGGCCTATGATCATAAAATCTGCATACTGTACTAACCAGGGTTTTATCATCTGGGTCAATAAGAGCAAGCTCTTTGGTGTTTAAAAGATTGATGATATTGGTTTTTTCCCCATCGTACACGGGGATCCGTGTGTAGCCCTGGTGCATTATTTCTGTTATTGTCTCAAAGTCCAGTACAGTGTTAATTTCAAGCATGTAAACGTCCTCAATCCTAGTCATGACATCTTCAACACGCTTGGTAGTCAACTGCAGTGCTCCAGAGATTATGTTGGCTTCATTATCGTGTATAATTCTTCGATCAGCAGTCACACGTATCAGCTCCTGCAGCTTCTCCTTGTTGAAGGCTTGTCCCATTTCTTGGCCTAGGAAAAGATCTAGCACCAGAGAAATCGGAAAGGCAGCAGGGAATGTAATAATAACAAACAGAACAGTAATCCAGTAAGTTTTAGCCCCGACCGCTAAGCCATGCCGCGAACAGACAGCCTGTGGTACAATTTCACCAACGACAACAATTGCAGCTGTGGAGCAAATAACAGCAACAACGTTATTTGTCATTTCCTCGAACAGAATGGTGAACGTCGTATTGACAAGTACATTTCCCAGCAAAATCGAACAAAGAAGCAAATTGCCCCTTTTACGTAATGGAGCTATGCGTTTGGCATATTGTTTTTCTTGAGGTGATCCCGCTTTCTCAATAATTTTTAACTCAGTGGGGTCAAGAGACATCAACCCCAGATTCAATCCACTGAAAAGTCCTGAAAATATCAGCAGTACAATACAGACACATATACGAAGCCAAAGTGGTATTAGAGGTTCCACGTTTGTTACTGAAAATACATGTATTCTAAGCCACTCCTTATTTCCTTGGTGCTGAGTGAAGCGAGTACTTCCCCTTATGGATGCCGGTGTGAACATTAAACATATATACCAATAGTCTTGTCCATATTCTAGCGGCTCGAATTGTACTTTTATAATTGCACTAGTATTATCAGGTGTCACATCTAACAGCCGGTACATCGCGGCATAAAACGTTGAGGGACAGTCCGTTTCATTCGTTGTAAAAAACACATTGTCGCTAGTGGAAAGATCCTGCCCTACAAGTCTTATCAGCACTAACTTGCCCAGCGGTGCCTTGAGACCCATACCTGTCACAACTGTTGCAAGACTATCTTTTGGGTGAATGCTAAATATTCTAGAAGCACTGCAAGTGTAAGTGAAGCAGAGACAAATGTATTCGACGACGGAGCAGTAACACAGAGCGATGGAGACATTCATGTCTGTTGTTGCTTGTGACACTTCTCAGGCGTCAATATACCAGAGTTTTTCCCCGTTTTGGCCAAATTTTAATTTCTTCTTCTTCTTCTTCTTCTTCTTCTTCTTCTTCTTCTTCTTCTTCTTCTTCTTCTTCTTCTTCTTCTTCTTCTTCTTCTTTTTCTTCGTTCGTTCGTCTGAATTATATTATCTACATCTGCAATGTTATCTCTAGTATGAACTTCAGTCTTTTAAAATTATTTCAGTGACCGGTAAAGTAAGCTTGCACCTGGGTTTCTCTTGGACATAAGTTTTGTCTTGGTATGTTGTATTTGGGACATTACTGGAGAATGATATCAATTGTCTCAGGTGCCAATCTCGTTCTATCTCTTGTGGTTTTATTCACAGCCATTCTCAAACAGCTCATCTCACATATGGTTAGTTTTCTTTCGTTTTTTTTTTTTTTTATTTGTCAATGTTCAGGTCTGACACTGGTAACCTAAAGCCGGTATAAATTTTGTATTTATAATTTGTCTTTTTGTCTCTGTTAGGATAGCAGTGTGTTTTAAAAATAGAGAAATTTGGAATGTGATATAGTTGGCTTGTTGGGTTCTTGTTTCTATATATGTCTATTTAATAATTGTATGCAAAGATTTTTTCTGAGTATTTAAATTCTTGCACTTGTTTCAGACCTTGATCTCTGATCTTTATGTCAATGGTTTGTTGCTCTCTACTTATTCTCGTGACTTCTGTTTTTTTTTTTTTTTTTAATATTGAAATTCATGTGATGTCCCTCACTACAATGTTCAATAGCTGTTGGACACCATTCGCATTTTAGGTGTCAATATAGTGTTTTATGCGTAACGTTGTTAGTTAGTTAGTTAGTTAGTTAGTTAGTTAGTTAGTTAGTTAGTTAGTTAGTTAGTTAGTTAGTTAGTTAGTTAGTTAGTTAGTTAGTTAGTTAGTTAGTTAGTTAGTTAGTTAGTTAGTTAGTTAGTTAGTTAGTTAGTTAGTTAGTTAGTTAGTTAGTTAGTTAGTTAGTTAGTTAGTTAGTTAGTTAGTTAGTTAGTTAGTTAGTTAGTTAGTTAGTTAGTTAGTTAGTTAGTTAGTTAGTTAGTTAGTTAGTTAGTTAGTTAGTTAGTTAGTTAGTTAGTTAGTTAGTTAGTTAGTTAGTTAGTTAGTTAGTTAGTTAGCTGGTTGGTTGGTTGGTTGGTTGGTTGGTTGGTTGGTTGGTTGGTTGGTTAGTTAGTTAGTTGGTTGGTTGATTGGGTGGTTGGTTGGTTAGTTGGTTAGTTGGTTGTTTGGCTGGTTGGTTGGTTGGTTGGTTAGTTAGCTAGTTAGTTAGTTAGTTGGTTAGTTGGTTGGTTAGTTGGTTAGTTGGTTAGTTAGTTGGTTGGTTGGTTTGTTGGTTGGTTGGTAGGTTGGTTGGTTGGTTGGTTGGTTGGTTGGTTGGTTGGTTGGTTGGTTGGTTGGTTGGTTGGTTGGTTGGTTGGTTGGTTAGTCAGTTAGTCGACAGATTATCATCTTTTCACATCGAACCATTCAGTCCATGAGTGCTCGGATCCCCTTGTTAGTAAATCTGGCAGCGTGTAGCGGCCCACGTCGTCAGTTCTGTATTTGTTTGTTATTCCTCTTTGGCCTCCTGCATAGTGATCTTGTCTGGCCACAAACCTTTTTAAAGCGTTGTTCTTATAGTCTGGTCATTGTTGCAGATTCACAGTCAACACTTGGTTCTCGAAAACGTCTCACTTCTCGTGGAGAATTCTGAACATCAGCATGGTTCATGGCTCGATCGCCCTCCATCGTAACTTTACCTGCAAGCCAGTCATCTTGCTCATTTCCTTTCGCTTATGTGTGCCGTGACTCAAATATATAACACATATGTGTCAACCCTACACGCTTTAGGGACGCCAGCCACTGTCTTCGGATCTCGCCCTTCTCTAACTTCCTGAGCATATAACTGAGTCACTGAGAAAGTATGCGTGGAAAAAGGTCTGTGTCTCCAGCCATTTTATTGCTTTGGTCACTGTCATGACAAACATAACGTATGTTGGTTATATTACAACCTCCAGCTCTAATTCTTTGTGTATCTTTGATCTCTCTCAATATCATCTCGCTCTAGAGAGAAAAGAGGTCATGCGACAGAACGCGTCCCTATCTTACTCCTTGTTTGATCTGTTCATTTGTGCCCATTCAATTTCCCATTTTAATAGCTGCCGTTTGCTTTTCATAAATTGTTCTAATTATTATGAGATCTTTTTTATCAATGCTAATAATATCGGTCAACATTTTGACCAGTTTCTCGTGATTCACCTTATCAAATGTTTTTTTATCTATAAAACCTGATTGCGACTTTTTCTGGGTTTCAATTGATCTCTCTGACAGTTCCTATTGTTTGTCCACATACTGGGACATGGTTACTGCTGTAGCCAGCTCCACACCTAGTTGTTACATTTGCAGCGCATTTCTAAATCTTGTATAGATTATTATATAGTCAGTTTGACTGAGTTTTTTTTTATTATCAGGGCTTCTCCTTGTGTACAGTCATCTCTTAGTTGTTTCTAATCATCATATTATATTTTGTCGCCTTTTTTATACGTTTCTCTCCTCTTTCATTTCTTGACCAGAGCAAGCAGTTATTCTACGCCCTAAGAGAAGACACTGTTTACTTCACAGCCTCATGTACACAAAATGTAGATTGGTGGATCAGTCATGTGCACATATGGACTGGCACGTTAGACAACAGATCATGTCCTTCAAGACTGTACTAAATACGACAAATCAATACAAAACTTCTGGCTTAAAAGTAACACCGGATAAAGGCAAACTTTACGAGTCGCTGAGTCAAATTAACACACAAACACGAAAAAACAGTGAACTTCACACTAGGGCCAACGTCCCTATGTTGTTTAACAGCAGAAGTGGAATTTTATGATAATGAGGAGCAAATATTAAAAGAAAGATCTTCTTATAAAATAGGGTAACAATTTAACGAAGCAATTCTTATCGTTGTGTATGTTTCATCAGCTGTTGAAATCATCATTATCATTGTCAGGGTCCTGTGCGGTTAGGAGATGTCGGAAAATGATGATGTTAAATAAGCAGGGTATAACTTATTTGACCGCGACCTTACCGGGTGTTCAGGGACACACACATATAGCCAACAACATGACTGACCACGTGAGATAATCACTCACAGGTTTATGAGGTTTTAACGGACCAGCTGTGAGCGTTGGGACAAAACGACGCAACAGTTGTGTGAGACTTTGGACGGGACATGTAGTGTGTCTGACCGCTAAAAATTCCTGTGTTAGTATTAGATTCATCATCATCAGGTGCCTTGCCGACTAGCGTGGGTGATCATGCCTCTCCATAACCTGCGATCTCCTGCAGCATGTATCAGTTCGTGTGCCGACACACCTCCATGCCATGCAACAAGCATCTTCTCTCATTGTCTTCCTCTATCTCTCCTTCCACATATCTCTCCAGTGGTCCCAACATGTTCTTTTTTCCCTCCTCTCATAACATGGCCGAAAAATGATGACTGTCTCCTTCTTATGTCTGTGATAATTTGTCTTCGGGCTCCCGCCTCTCTCAAAACCTCATGGTTGCTCTTTTTGGCTCTCCAAGGTATTCTAAGCATTCTTCTGTAAAACCACATCTCCGAGGCCTCTAGAAATTGTTTGGCCTGCCTACCGATTGTCCAGGATTCACAGCCATATGTTAAAACTGGATGTATGTAGCAAGCAAGATTTCTTTTTCTAACTCTCAATGACTAGGATATATTGAATAAGATATTTTTCATTTTATAAAATGCAGTTTTTGCCTGTCCTATTCTGTTTCTTATCTCAGTTATGCATCTTCTATATGATGTTATCCATGTGCCCAGATACTTAAATTTCTGCACTTTTCCTAAAATAACACCATCAACTTTTATTACACACTTAGGAATAATTCGTTTCTTTGATACCACCATTACTTCTGTCTTCCCATTATTCAAACTGAGGCCCATTCTTCCACTTTCTAACACCACAATGTCTATCATTTCCTGTAGTTCTTTCTGACTTGTTGCTATCAAGAATGTGTCATCAGCATAACGTAAATTGTTTATATTGTGCCCACCAACCACAATTCCGGGCATACCAATTAAAGCTCTCATTATATATTCACTGTATATTGAAAACAAATCATGTGACAGTACACATTCCTGTCGTACGCCCCTCTTTATGCTTTGAAATGTACCTAAACAGTTGTTAATTCTTATAGCTGCTGTTTGCTGCCAATACATATTCTTTATTATTCGTAGATCTTTACCATCAATGTTTAATTTTTCTAACAATTTGATTACTTCTTCATGCTTCACACAGTCAAATGCTTTTGTATAGTCTATAAAGCATATGTACAAATCAGTCTTTACTTCTATAGCTTTTTCTGACAATGTCCTTGGGATGTATATGACATTGTTTGTACCTTTTCCTTCTACAAATCCACATTGTTCATCGCTGATTTCTGGTTTAATTTTGTTTCCTATTCTTCTCATAATTATTATCAGTAAAATCTCAGTCATGTGACTCAAAAGACTTATTGTGCGATGGTCTTCACATTTTATAGTGTCTGGTTTCTTAGGCAGAGCTGTAAATATGGATTTTAAAAGGTCATTTGGAATATACCCACTATTATAAATATCATTTAAAAGTTTAGTTATTATTTCAATTCCAAAATCTCCCAGTGCTTTGATTTCTTCCAGTAAGATGTTGTCTGGCCCGGGTGCTTTTCCTGTCTTCATATGATGTATTGCATCCTCAACTTCTACAGTTATTATTGGTGGACCATCATTGTTAGTCTGCAGTTCTACATCTGGTCTATTATCATCATACAATTCCCTTATATACTCTGTCCATCTGTTAATTATATTACTATGTCCCATTAATAAGTCATCATCTTTTGATTTCAAACATCCAGTGCTGTTTTGTGTCATCTTTCCTGTTAACATATTTATCTGTTGGTACATGGAATGTGAGTTT